ATTAATTAAGGGTCTGTATATTACTTGAAACCATAAGAAGTATATGTGTTTATTAAAAAAAAATAAAAATAGATAAAATCTGCATTAAAAGTAATAAGTTCAAATCTGTAGCAAATATAAATATTGCAATAATTTCTTATAAATACGATTTCCTAAAGTAATTTTCTAAGATATTAAAGATCATAATGCGAAAAAACTAAATTTATTAAAAGTAATAGGCTTTATGTTTCTTAAACTACCTATATTTGTTCATAAGTACTTTGATGGACGAATATTTTCGAAAAGTAGTTTTATTGTTGGAATGAAATATAGCAAGACTTGCATTGCCTACTAAGAAAGTTAGTAGCAGGTAGTCATCGGGTTAAAGACTTGGTGCATGCACAAAAGCTTTTTTCCACTAACTTGAAATATTATCTACCTGTTCTGTTTTTGTTGACTTTTTTATGGTAAGTTGTATGATTTGAAATGAGGTTAGCTCATAGAAGTTAACACCATGTAAAAAGCATTTTCTTAAAACTGGATTACTCAACAAGATACTAAACACTAACTTAATATAGTTATTACAAGACTAGACTCTGAATAAACGAGGAAAAAAAAGTATGTGGAGCTAGTACTTAGATCAAGCCAAAGAGTAAAAGCATATATATACATATATTATATAGCACAGCTATACAAATTCTGATTAAACATATATCAAGTTATCTATCTGTAAAAATTTGAATGATAAGAATATTTCTGGCTCTTACTTTTGGATTAATTATTCTTGTTGTTTGTCCCTCCATCTGTATAATTGATTCACTGTTCATTTCAATTTCTCTGTAAAGTAGCAAATCAATATTTTTATATTTCAATTTTTCTCTGTTTTACATACACTACAAACATTGTTATTCAATTCAATCTTTCTCTGTATTGCAAGATGGCTTATTCACCACTTCATTTTAATAACTGTTTATTACAATGAAACATTTAAAAATCTATATTACTCATCATTTAAATGTTTTTCTGATGTAATAACACATTTAAAACATTCATTGTAATACTTTTTTTTTCCATTGTTACAAGTTAACATCACATGTCAAATAAATATTATTCTTCATTTTAATTATTCTCTGTGATAACAAAGATTTTAAAATGAGCTTAGCCCTCCACTTTACCTCATTCTATTATATTGATACATCTAAAACCATCATCACTATCTAAGGCATACCACAACTAAGGATAAAATTACACAAGCAAGAATGTTGAGAAAAAAAAGTAAAGCCTCCTCCATCCAGGGAAATTACTCATAACCTCAATAAGCCAAAAAAGTGGCTTGCATGATGCAAAAATAAACATCCATGATAGATTAAGGTGCCTAATGGAGCAAGTGGAAAGTCCACGAGTTTTAGGTGATCTCTGTAAATGAAAAAACTCTGTGCCTGCAAGTAGAAAAGTATAGTAAGCTCACCCATACATCTAGGCAACCACCAAGATGTGTTTTATATATCCTTCTTCCACTTTCACACTTTATCACATCATCATAAATACATGGAGAGGGTACAGTGTTATTTAACATGAGGTGTATGACACATTATGTTTTCCACATTGAGTTCAGTAATTACGGTCATTCTTATTGTTTGTTAACTAATATTTTGCTTGTTCTTTTCATTCTGTTTACTTAGACTTTTGTCTGTAATCTGTGACATCAGGCACAAACATAAACAGTAAATAATACAGCAGTACACAAGTTTTATCCAAATCACTCTACATTAAGAAGCTCTGCAGTTCCCTAGCTCAGATAAAGTGAGGCAGAGTACATGGTTTCTGAATACTATACATGAAAATATCAATTGTAAGTTTGTATAACAAGTTCATAATTTGTTCAAAACTTTGAGTTGAGATCAGAGCCAACACCATAGGGAGTCTTGCCTGTCTCTTTTTGATCCTATGCACACCCCTCCCCAAATGCATCACAAATACAAATTAAAACTAAAACAAAATACAATTAGAGCTGAATACTAATAATAATGATAAGTATTTCAAATGTAAAGGTTTCAAATTCCTAACTTTTCAACTTAATGCCCAGTGAATCTGTATACAAAACATTTATGATGAAAACCTTGTCAAAAATTAAAATACTTCCCATTGAACAGTCTACTAAATGTGGACTCTACAGCAATAACACAAAATTTAAACAACCCAAGCCACGCAATTAAAGATATTAACAGATTTTGGTCTGTAATGGTTACTGATGGCCAGGTTTCTTGTGGTTTCTTCCAATACAACTGATTTTACAAAAACATGAGACCAATGTAAATCAAATTAGTCTGACAATTCATTCTTGTTTATTGTGCTACATTACTTGCATTTCTAAGGTTAACAATATTGTAGAGGTAATATATGAAAATTAGTAAAAAGACTTAGGTATAGGCTACTAACTATGAAAATTACCATATTTATATTTCTCCAAAGAGACCAAAAAATGGATAAACAAATTAATCAAATATGGTATGTGAGTGTATCACACGTACACATGAATGTAAAGGTGTAATTAATGACTAAAATAACTACTGCAATTTGAGGGCATTCAATTCTGAAGTGTACTGGGTGGAAGGTACTCTTGTCATATTTGTGGACAATAGAACTTTTTGTTATTGATTTTGCTGATTATAATTTCTAGTTATTTCTACTATTATAAGTACATTAAAAAAGTAAAGTGGAAACACTGGTGAAACATACTGTATCTGTAGAGAAAGATTAAATTTCATATAAGTACACAAGTTTAATTATATCTACAGAGTTACAATAAGCTGAATTATAGTAACAGCTACAAATATATAACTGCATATGTTATTTGTTGTGTAAACCCTTTGCTCTCTTTAGGGCAAATACCTATTCAACATGTTGTCATAGAATTTATCAATGACAATGCAAGAAATGTTCCTTCAAATACCCTGTAGCATGTAATGATTCTACATGTTATTTTATCCATGCACATGTAGGTCCAAATTTCCTCATGATGTTTGTATTTAAGCTGCTTGTAAATTTTCATTATGTTTGTCATGCTTAAGATCATTATTCTGTTGAAACCAGAGGCATAGTCAAAAGGGGGCCTGCCCCCCTGAAAAATCTAGGCATATTGATCACATATTTTTATGCTTTTATATATAATAAACTCATTTTGTATCATTTAATAATAATAAAAATTCTATAAACACTATTACATTTGATTTGTTTTAATGACCATTTTATTAAAAATCTAGATCAATTTCAGCTTTTTAATTTATTGGTCCCCCCCCCCCCTAAAGAAGCATAATGATGAAATGTCACATGAGCACCTTAACCTGAACACTTATCTATAGAAAAAAATAATGCTATAACACACTACAGAAATGTGATTTGACTTACCTTTGGTTAAAAGGTCGAACCCTGACTGCCACTTTTACAGAAGCCATGTCTTAAGATGCTAGAATGCTCAAACAGTAGCAAATTTGGTGTGAAGTAATTACAGTGGTTGTATAAAATATTTCCTACAAGGGAAAGGAAAAAAAAAGGAAATTGAAAGCAAATTTAAGAGCAAAAATTATAGTAAGTAGCAGAAAATTTTGGTTTGAAATTATTTAATATGGATTCAAATGTTGATAACATGCTTTTAGTACAAAATTTAAATGTTTAAGTATTGCATTTATAATTTTAAAACAGCAAACCATAACCACTGTAAAGCTAAAAGTATGATTAATACTTCCTGATTTCACATTTACCACACTTGTAAATGCAGCAATGTAGTTTTAAAAAATTAGAAAACCACACACACACACACATATATAGTCACAAATATGAACAAAAAATAACTTACATTAGACTTTGCCTATTTTATAATGCAAGATAGTAAAAATACAAATAAAGTATTTAAAGATTTGTCATTAATTTTAATATAATGTAAAAAAATATTTTTAATTATTATGGTAGGTTTTTTCCCTTACCAAAATTAATACAACCTCTGACACTCTGTTAATGTGACTAATCACTCCATTAATTAAGCTTGCTTAATCATTCAAAAACCTGAAATTAATTAATTTTATCTATATAGCATGCTTCTTGTTTTAGAACTGAAGTACCATTTGAAAGCCCAGTAAATATGCAACTTTAGCCCAGGCTAAGTCAGTTTAATTTTATTAGTTTCACTTACACTAGAAATAAATATAAAAAATAGTATGTACCAAAAAGTGTAATAAAAACAACATCTGTACAAGGTTAGGTTATTTTACTTTGAATAATAATTTTTTCTGTTTATGGAAATAATAGTAAGTACATTATGGTGAATACGCACAGTAGCATGTTCTATAAAAGAAGCACTACAAACTTTATTAAAAATGTCAGCATTTGCAGGCAAATGCAACATGTCTCTAAAATGCAATTCCAGCATGGCCAATTTTGACACCAGAAAAAACATGAAAAATACAAAAAACAGAAAACTGTCTACATCATCACTTGGAACCTGCAAGAAGGTATCTTTGTAGCGAATCCCATGTAAATTGGTTGACATACACATTAATAGTTTGCAAAAACTCCGAATTGTATTTTCCTTGCTGAAAAATTAAGCAAAAAGACAAAATTTCAAAATTGTCTGTATCTTTGTTTAGAACCTGCAAAGAGTATCTTTGTACCAAATCCTATCTACATTGGCCAAAATAAAACAAAGTAATTGTCAAAAAACCCTAAAAATTATGCTTTTTGTGGCTCTTGACCCCCTCTCTTATAATTACTACAAATGGGCAAGTCCATCATTTTTGTTTGTCAATGCGTGTGGGGCTTTTAGAAAAGTATCTTTGTACCAAATCCCATGTAAATTGGTCAAAATATGGCTAATTAATTGACCAATAATCTCAAAATGATGCTTTGTTTCGAGCTCTCACCCCATAAAAATACTCAAAATGGGCAAATACAACTTTTTTTTTGTATGTCAATTTGTTGAGTGCATGAAAATTTATAATTGTGCCAATTTTCACCTTGATTGTTGTAACTATGACTCCATATGTACATATTTTGGGGTTGTTTGATTTTTGATCTCATAAAATCCTTAAAAAGGCCTGAATCAAAAAATGCAAAAGGGATCTAGATGTATTGGACCTAGTTATAACCATACCAAGCTTCAAGCCAATCTGTTATAATATGGTGTTGGGAAAATAAAGCAAGAAATAAGAAAAAAGACACAATAGAAAAACAGTATATCTCTCTGTGGGCATATAACTAGATATTTCCACTGTTAAAAGCAAAACAGCAGCAATTTAGCATTATAAAAAAACATTCTGGTAGTTTATTAGCATATATTTCAACCCCTGTTATGTAGTATATGCTAATAGTTTTGGGTTTTCATTAAAAGTTACATTTAGATGGGTTGTGTTGCCTGCTACAGCTTGTTTATTTTCATAACAATATTTGAGACATCATCAATACTTTATTTGGTGTTACTGTTAACATATTTCCATACAAATGGACCAAAGTTTTATGTTTATAACTTTACACATCTCTAGCCAAAATATTTGAATGAAAAAGAAAGCATGTGTTTTAAATACCAAAATATTACATTTTCTTGTCAAGAAATTTATGAAGTATTAAGAAAATATTAAATTCAAACAGAAAAGATAAGGTGAATAAAAACTTAAAAGTTAAGGTTGCACTAGTAGAATATAGCTTGAATATTGAAAGACTTACTTTTAAACTACAAATTAAAAGTATACTACTAGTAATAGTATTCCTAGTCAAAAACATATGGATAAACAGTTTTAAAATTTTTAGAACAGCAAAAAAATTTATTTAAGTTTATATTTTAAATTATGTTAAAACTCAAACGGTTAAAGCCTTAAAACTGAAAGTTTAACTTGAACTCAGCTGAACTACTTGAAGTCAACCGTATGAGTATTAACTATTATTATTAATAAAGTATTATCACTTAAAAGTTAAATGTTATTAGTACTGCTTTATTACAAAATGCTAGTAGTAGCACTGTTTTTACTAAAAGTAGTTTTAGTAGCAGTATACTTATATTTATAATACTTAAGAGTAGTGTATCATACACTATTAGTATTATTGCGTATTACTAGTATTAATATTACTAATAGTAACTTTCGTGTAATGCTTTTAAGTTTAAATCGTAATTTGAAAAGAATATAAAACTGATTACAAACACAATCTGAACTCACCCTATAAAGTGTAACCTGTGCAAATGTGTATAAATTACAGTTTACATCAGTATGATAAATTCTTCTCAAAAGATTGTAAAATAAGTTCTTTTTTTCACCTGAGTTAACATTAACGATGTTTCCTAAACAAAACAGTGTGAGCAAATTATAACTTTTTTTATAATAGAACTGTCACGAGCTGCATAAATGATCACAGCGCTCTCTCTTTGTAAGCCAGCTCAGTTGGTCTAATTTTTATAGTTGGTGGGTTTCTGATTTTATTTATATGTTTTACGGAGGATACGTTTTGGAAGCCTTAGGGCTAATCTGATTGCTCTGTTTGTTGTAATTGTAGTTTTTTAAAATTATTGTCCGAGATGTTATAAGTTAACAGACATCCATATTTTATTAGGGGGGGGGGTTACAAATATTTTGTATATTCTTAAGGGTGTTTCTGGTGTGCATCCCGTGTGCTTACCTGCAATTAGACTGATATAGTTGATGGGTTGGCTAATCTAGGAATGTATGTTTTGAATATGTTTATTCCATGTGAGAGGAGTGTCAAAGGTGATGCCAAGAAATTTAAAATTATTACCCATTTTTATTTCTGTGTCTCCTAACTTTAATTTAACTTTCTTGAGAGTTTTCATATGTTTGCCTAGTTCTTTGAAAATGGCTACTGCTTGTGTTTTTGTGGGGTTTACTATCATCCGCCATTTAAGATTTAAATTTAGTGATTTTTGGACTCGAGTCATTGCCGTAAGTGGGTTTATTGATATGCTCCAGACTGCTATGTCGTCATCACATTGAGAATGATATGTATATGTTAAGTTGGGGAATGGGATGTCATTTACAAAAATGATGTATAAGAGTGGCGAAAGTATTGATCATTGCGGCACTCATGCGATGGTATTATATGTTTTTGATAATGTATCGTTTACTTTAACTTGAGCCGTTCTATCAGTCAGAAAGTTAAATATCCATATAATTATGGTTTCATTGACATTCAGTTGTTTTAGTTTGTACTTTATGGCATTGTGCCAAACACTATCGAATGCTTTTTAACATCTAAGAATACACCTATTGTAACTTGATTATTATTAAAGGATTTATAAACAGATTCTGTTAATCGTGTAAGGTGGATTATTGTTTGTCTGTTCTTTCTTGGTTCGTTTTGGATGTTTGACAGTAGATTGTTTGTTTCACAGAAGTTTGTTTGTTTGTTTGTTTT